TTATTTTCTTTTCTATATGCTCAAAAGATAGCTATGAGAAAATGAATTTATATTAGATTGATTTAGACTGACAAAGAATATCTGGTAAATTCTAAAACAGGGCACTAAAGAAGATTATATACTTTTTTTTTTGGTAGCAGCTATTAGTATAATACTTTAATTATCTTAGAGATGGTAAATTAGAACAGAATTATAAAACATTTGAAATAGAAGGAACCATTGCCCTAATTCTTAAGGTTTATTCATCTGTTCAATGTGACATTTGGATTTAGAACCCAGTAAGTGTCCATTTATGATAATGGTGGTATTTCAGATTAATGAGAAGAGGATTTACTATTCAATAAATGATACCGAAACTATTGATTATTCACTTGGAAAAACATTCAGTTAATTCTAATTTAGCACCAAAAAATACACTCCAAGTGATTAAAAAGTTCAATTAAAAAAAATGTTCAAGAATTAGGAGAAATACTTTCTCCTAAACAAGGCCAAAAAAATCCAAAGCCATATAAAACATCAAAAAAATTGACTACATATAATAAATTAAAAGTTCTGTACAGTGCAGGTGCTATAAACAAGCAAATGACACACTGGAAAAAAATTTGCAGCTTATCCAACATAAAAATGATATATAGTTATTAAAAACATTTTAAGCATAAACTATTGATTATGGAGCTGAACTTTTTTCTTTCTTTTCTTTTTTTTTTTTTGAGAAGAGTCTCACTCTATTGCCTGGGCTAGAGTGCCCTGGCATCAGCCTAGCTCACAGCAACCTCAGACTCATGGGCTCAAGCAATCCTCCTGCCTCAGCCTCCCAAGTAGCTGGACTACAGGCATGCACCACCATGCCTGGCCAATTTTTTCTCATATATTAGTGGCCAATTAATTTCTTTCTATTTAGTAGAGACGGGTCTTGCTTTGCTCAGCTGGTTTGAACTTGACCTGGAGCAGTCCACCCGCCTCAGCCTCCCAGAGTGCTAGGATTACAGGCATGAGCCATCGCGCCCCGCCTGAACTCTTTCTTTAACACCACCTATGGCTGTCCTCCCTCTTCTTCCAGTTCTCAGAAGCAGTACTATCATGAATTTCATAGGAATCTGTTCATTCCATTTTAAATACTTATAAATGTACACCTGTAAACATTTAGCTTATATAAGTATTATGGCTATCACTGTGGAATATTAAGAGCTTGCCTTCAACATGTTTATGGTTCCGGAGGTAGATGGGAGGTGAATATTCTCTCAAAGATATTTAGCGTGAGTGCCAGTTGAGTGATATAGATTATGTGCAGAACCTTAAAAATTCTTTGATAATGGCTAAGTGAATTAAGAATATAGAGGGATATAAATTTAAAAAGAAGTCAGTTCTTTTGTGTTCACTTGTCCCTTCACTCCCAGAGGTAACTTTTTCTGTCTTTTGTTTTTTCTTTGCGTGCATTCTTTTGATTTTTTTTTTTTTTCTTTGAGACAGTCTCATTGTAATTGCCCGGACTAGAGTACCCAGGCATCAGCCTAGCTCACAGCAACCTCAAACTCCTGGCTCAGGCTATCCTTCTGCCTCAGCCTCATGAGTAGCTGGGACTAGCATGTGCCACCATGCCAGCTTTTTTTTTCTATATTTTTAGTTGGCCAATTATTTCTTTATTTTAGTAGAGACGGGTCTTGCTCTTGCTCAGGCTGGTTTTAAACTTCCTGCCTTGGCAATCTGCCTGCCTCGGCCTCCCAGAGTGCTAGGATTACAGGTGTGAACCACCATGCCCAGCCTCTTTAGAATTTTTTAAATGCATGTATGTATAAACTTTTTTTTTCATGAAAAAGAAACCACACCGTATGTATTAATTCATAACTTAAATTTTATTTTTTACTTAAAGATATCCTGGCATTTTTCTATATCAGTATAAATAATACAATGTTACCTCATTCTTTTTTACAGTTACGGAATAATCCATTATATGAATATACCACAATTAAATATTCCTCTACTGATTAATATTTACAATGCCATTATAGAACTGTAGCATACAACCTTATACAAACAAGGATTTTTGTTTCGTTTTGTTTTACCTGTTCATGTCACAATTTTACTAAGTAGATTCATAAAAGTGGGTTATTGGTTCAAAGGCATTTTTATTTTATATTTTAAGGTTTATTGAAGTATAATTGATATGCCAAAAATATACATATTTAATGTATACATTTTGATGAATTTGGAGAGATATTTGCATTTTAAGGTTTGTTGAATGTTGCCAAATTTGTTTTCAAAAAAAAGTTGTGTAATTTATAATCCCATTAATGTGTATGAGATTAAATGTTATTAAATGAATTAATACAGAAATACGAGTAGAGGGGCGAATAGTTCTAGGGCTGAAATGATTTGGAAAGACTTCTCAGAGAAAGTGAGTACTTTTAAGCTGCGTGTGGCACTCACCTGTAGTCCCAGCTACTGGGGAGGCTGAACCAGGAGGATTGCTTGTGTCTGGGAATACAAGGCTGCAGCGAGCTATGATCGTACCACTGCACTCTAGCCTGGGTAACAGAGCAGACCCCGTATCAAAAAAAAAAGAAAGTGAATACTTACACTAGATCTTGAAGATGAATATGCCACAGATAGAGGAAAGGGGGAGGGGAAAAAAAGATATTCTTAGTGAGAGGGAAAGGACCAGACAAAGGGCATGGAAGAGTTACCAGGAAAGAGCTTTTACATTGTGGTCATACTCTTATTTATCTCTTAGTTAATTTTTTTTCCCCTTTTTTCTTTTAGAGACAGGGTTTCACTCTGTCATCCAGGTAGGAGTTCAATGGTGCAATCATAGCTCACTGCAACCTCAAACTCCTGGGCTTAAACAATCCTCCTGCCTCAGCCTCCCGAGTATATAGGACTGTAGGTGTACACTACCATGCCCAGCTTCAGTTCACTTTATGTTGGCGTATCTTTTGCAAAAAAGGTGGAGCTAGGCAATCTCCTATCTTTAGGGCTTTACTCTACCACCTGTGGAATATTCTGAATCTTTTAGCCTGTAATTCAAATTCTCTTACACTTTGGCCACTTATTTTTTTTTTATATGATCCTTCTTAGGTAGAGTCATCTACACATTCACATTGTTCTTGAATAATCCCTTAGACATTGCCACTATAATTTTTTTTTATTGGACACTCGTAGAATTGTGAACTCCAGTGGTTGCTTAACTTCAATATTTGATTGCTTCTTTTTATCTTCCTTCTATGTGTCCTCATGCCACCTTTTTTTTTTCTTTGAGATAGGGTCTTGCTCTGTTGCCCAGGCTCGAAGTGCTGTCATGTTATCACATCTCACTGCAACCTCAAACTTCTGTGCTCAAGCAGTCCTACTGCCTCAGCCATCTGAGTAGCTGGGATTGTAGGCATGTGCGACCATGCCCAGTTAATTTTTCTATATTTTGTAAAGACGGGTTCTCACTATGTTGCTCAGGCTGGTCTCAAACTCAAGCTGGCCTCCCTCCTTAGCCTCCCAAAGTGCTGGCATTACAGGCATGAGCCACCATGCCCTGCTCGTCATGCCTTCTTGATAGCTACCCATATCCCAACCTCAGGTACTTGCTGTAATTTACAATTGTTAGCCCAGTTTATGCTTCATGGGTGAAGAACTATTAGCCAATATTTGATAATATTTTATATAGTAAGCTCATCGTGTTCACTGTCTTGAATGTTTTCTACATAATACTGTTTGACCATGAAATTTCTAAATACTCACCAAAATGTATTTTCCTTGTTAATAGATGTCTGATATAAGTGTATGAACTTAAAATACACAAGAGAAATGATATGTAATTCACATATTAAGCATAACAAGAAGAAAATATTTTTGAAAGCATTCAAGTATCAGTTTATTGCTTTGATACATGGGAAAACAACACAAGGAATTTCTGTAACAACAGTGATAATAACAATAGCTGTCATTTATTGATCACTCTATTCTAGGTAGGCACTAATTGCTTGTTTTATTTTTATAACAATTCCCATCAAGTAGGTAATATTTTACACATTTTACATATGAAGAAATAGAAGTTTAGGGAATTTAACTAAGAAGAGCTACAAAATGGCAACCACAGGATTAGAATCCATGTCTTTCTAATGAAACAGCCTGAATAAAGTTTTAATAATCTGTTATACTGCATCAATAATCATTATCTTCCATGTAAAAGTTAAGAATACATATTTCTAGGAAGAGTAGACATCTTTGTTACATGAAAATGATCACTAATTGCACTGCTTTGAAAATGATGACAAATTGATACCCCCTTTTGGAAAGAGGGAGAGGTAATTAGTCATCAATTATACTATTTCAAAGAAAATTTTGAAAATTCAGAAAAGCATAAAGAGAAATTGAAAATTAGCAACAATTAAACTAGAGAAAACTGTATTTCTTTCATTCTTTACTGAAAAGTAAAAATTTATAATATATAGAAATATTTAAAATTGCATGTAATACTAGAGTCATGCTATGTGTATAGTTTTATGTTCTCCTTTGTTATTTAACAGGTCCTTTTTTGCTATAAACATATATGCATGTATATTTGCTTGAAAATGGTTCTCACTGGCTAAATAATGTATTGCATGTACATTATTTGAGTTTATTTAATCTTGAATGAACTCTTAAGCCTTTTTCTCTTTTCTTTTCTTTTCTTTTCTTTTCTTTTCTTTTCTTTTCTTTTCTTTTCTTTTCTTTTCTTTTCTTTTCTTTTCTTTTCTTTTCTTTTCTTTTCTTTATTTATTTTTTTTCAGTGAGACAGGATCTTGCTGTGTTTCCAGGGCTAGAATGCTACTAGTAGTGTCATCATAGCTCACTATAACCTCCATTGCCTAGGCTTGAGCAATCCTCCTGCCTCAGCCTCCCAAGTAGCTGGGACTACAGGTGTGTGCCACCACGCCTGACTAATTTTTTCTATTTTTTGTAGAATGGGGTCTTGCTCTTGCTCAGGCTGGTCTCAAACTCCTGGCCTCAAGTGATCCTCCCACCTCAGCCTCCCAAAGTGCTAGGATTATAGGCATAAACTCCCATGCCCAGCCCTAATCCTTATTTTTTAATTTATTTAATCCCTATTACTAGACATATAGGTTACCTCTAATTTTTCTCTAAGTTACACTGGAAGGAGAAACCATCAGGATGTTGCTGTGAGTCTTCAGCATTGAGATTCTCCATCTCTCCAAAGATAACAGTGATAGATTAAAACATACACATACACGGTTAATAAACATACTTTTGGAAAGAATATGGCTCTATAATTCTGTGTCTTTTCTCCTCTAGAAATCAAAAAACAAAAGAAAGAGAATAAGAAGAAAAATGCCTGAGCTTCCATTTTCAGTGAACTGAAAGATATATAGACTCCAGATAATGTTTATTAAAGGCCACCAAAAGCATCTAAGAAAGGGACAAAGGCTATGAGTTTAAATATACTTATTGGAGGTGAGGAGTTTACCTTGAAGTTCAAAAGCTAAATCTCTTGTTTGTAATGACAGGGTTGGTGGCAGAAGTACTTGGTTTGATTCAGAAAAGAAGAGCAAGTACACACACACACACACACACACACACACACACACACACACACACAGGACTATTATTCAACCTTAAAAAAGAAGGAAATTCTGTCATGTAATAATACCATGGATGAACCTTGAGGATGTTATACTAAGTAAAATAAGCCAGTCACAAGAAGACAAATACTACATGATTCCACTTATATGAGATATCTAAGGAAGGAGGAAATAGGAGTTATTCAGTTGTCAGCAAGACTTAATTACAACTGAAACTTATTTTCAGGTAGAAACTAGCCAAACTTATTTCCAATTCATGTTCCAGACAAAGGGCAGTCCTCCTAACCTAACACACATATAAGGAGCTCTTGGAGACCCGGTAAGAAAAAGACCTTGCAACTCCATAAAAGGTGTGCAAAGATATGAATAGATAATTGACAGAAAATTAAATGTAAATGGCTTTTAAGCATATGAGAAGTTGCTAGTGTTATTCACAGTAAGGGAAACTAATGATATAGTTCACCTGTTAAGCAAGAACATAAAAATTGTTCAAACCAACATATTCTGTTGGTTATGGGGCTTTGGGGGAAAAGGTGCTCGTACGTTGCTGTTGAGGATACAAATTGAGATAACCCCTGTGGTTGGCAATTGAGCAAAAACTACCAGAGTACAAATGTATTTGCAGCAGGGTATGGTGGCTCACGCCTGTGATCCTAACACTCTGGGAGGCCGAGGCAGGTGGATCACTCAAGGTCAGGAGTTCAAGACCAGCCTGAGCAAGAGTTAGATCCCGTCTCTACTAAAAATAGAAAGAAATTAATTGGCCAACTGAAAATATATATAGAAAAAATTAGCCAGGCATGGTGGTGCATGCCTGCAGTCCCAGCTACTCGGGAGGCTGAGGCAGGAGGATTACTTCAGCCCAGCAGTTGGAGATTGCTGTGAGCTAGGCTGATGCCACAGTACTCTAGCCCAGACAACAGAGCAAGACTGTCTCAAAAAAAAATTACATACGTGTGTGTGTGTGTATTTATATATTTGCTATTTGACCCAGCAGGTTGTATTTCCTGAAGTTTATCTTATACTTGTACACATGATACATACTGGATTATTTTGTAGCCTGGTTTGTAATAGCAGAATGTTAGAAACAACCTAGATGTCCATCAGTAGGGGATTGGTCAAAGAAATGATGGAAAAACCATACAGTGGAATACCATGCAGCTGTAAGATAAATATAAGAATATTTCTGGGGTTAAATAATTTATATTCATATATTTTTGTATGTTCATAAACTTTGAAACGATGCACCAGGAAAACATAATAAGAGTTACCTGAGAGGAAAGGGAGAGAAACTGAGCAAATAAAAAGATTGGGAAGGAAACTTTTCACTAAACAAACAAAAAAATGAAAATAATACCTACTCAAAAGTTAACAAAAGAAAAATAAACATCTCTGGACTTAAAAGAACAAAAAGCAAAGTGTTAAGTAGGAGCTAAATATGAAAGTCTGTAAGAATCTGGTTTGGAAGCTGGCAGCTGCCCATGAGAGGTCATTTCCTGCAAGATAGAGACCAAAACTACTGGATATTGGTGGACAGGTTGGGAAAGGGAGGTATAGAACTTGTGTTTACTACCCAAGAAACTAGAGGGCTGAGTCAGAAAGGAACTGGAAAAGAATGTGTGACCACTGCTTAGTGATATGGCTTATATAAATTGCATGTCCATAGTGATATAAGGAAGCAGTGAAAGCCTCCTATATTAGAGCTAGGCCTACCTACCCATGTCTTAGTGGCTGTATCTTCAAGAGTATACATCAGCAATTATGAAACCTAATTCTGGGTTGGGAGGTTTGGGTGAGAGGTGGCAGCAAATGAAAAATTGTTAGTGAGGTGAGTCCACAAACACACACATACACATAGGCAACTTTGAGTTATAATGAACCTGCAAACAATTCAAAAATATACAAGAAAAAAGTAACCCTAAAAAAAAAATGAAAGTCTATACCTTTATTAAAAAGCAAAGAAAATACTTTCCGTGTGCTGATATAAAAATATTTCCAAGATTTGTTGCTTAGTGAGAAAAAAGGGAATCATGATACAGTGTTTAGAAATATGTTTTCTGCTGTGCAGGAGTGGGGAGATAATTGATATTCTCATTCAAGTGACTCCTTAGTCTATGAAGTATAAATAATAGAACAATTTTAAAGTATATGTTTAAGATCCTTAAGGATATAAAGGAAGAAGTAATAACCATAAAAGAGAACAAAAACTAAGTAGATGTAAATTGCACATGGATATAAAAAGAGAACATTAGAAATCTTTTTTTGTTGTTTTTTGTTTTTTTTTGAGACTCTGTTGCCCGGGCTAGAGTGCATGGGGTCAACCTAGCTCACAGCAACCTCAAACTCCTGGGCTCCAGCAATCCTTCTGCCTCAGCCTTCCAAGTAGGTGGGACTACAGGCTTGCGCCACCACACCGGTTAATTTTTTTCTCTATATATTTTTAGTTGTCCAGCTAATTTCTTTCTTTTATTTTAGTAGAGATGGGGTCTTGTTGCTCTTGCTCAGGCTGGTCTTGAACTCCTGAGCTCAAAGGATCCTCCCACTTCAGCCTCCCTGAGTGTTAGGATTACAGGCATGAGCCACTGCACCTGGACAGAAATCATTATTAAACTGGTCATATCATGACATGTACTAGACTAAACATAGTCAATGAATAATTTAATTAGTGATTTGGAATATAACATTAAGGAATTCACCCAGAGTGTAGCAAGAGAGAAGTGAAAAAAATAGAGAAAAGATACTAAGAGGATAGAGTGAGATAATCAAACATAAGTCTAATATCTAAAAGAAATTTTAGAAGGAGAGATTAGCGAGAAAAAATATTTAATGAGATAAATGAGATAAATAATGAGATTAAAAGTTTTTCGGAGTTGAAATTGCGCATTGCTGAACAATTGCTTAGCTGGATACATTTAAAAAACTTCTTGGTGCTCAATCATAAAATTGCAGATCATAAAGCAGAGTTCTTTATAATGATGGAAAAAAGCCACAGGACCTCCTATACCAAAACATTAGTTAAATTAACAACTTATTTACCAAAACAATAATATACAGAAGTTGTGGAATCCTCTTTCCTCAAAATGTAAAGGGAATGTAATTGTTAACCTTGACTTCTATGGTCATTTAAACTGCTATCAGGCCAGGGGAGGTGGCTCATGCCTGTAATCCTAGCACTCTACGAGGCTGAGGCAGAAAAATAGCTTGAGCTCAGGAGTTCGAGACCAGCTGAGCAGGAGCAAGACCCTGTCTCTATTATAAATAGAAAAAAATTTGCCAAAACAACTAAAAATACAAAATATTATCTGGGCATTGTGGTGGATGCCTGTAGTCCCAGCTACCCGACAGGTTGAGGCAGAAGGATCGCTTGAGCCCAGGAGTTTGAGGTTGCTGTGAGCTAGGCAGACCACATGGCATTCTAGCCTAGGCAAGAGAGTGAGACTCTGTCTCAAAAATAAATAAATAAACTGTCAGCAAGAATGAGGCCCAAAGTGAGGCTGTATACAAAACCAAAAGTTCCTTGCTTATAAAAGCTTAATGTAAGAACCAAAAGATGTACTGCAGCTGGGAGAATAGTAAACACTAAAGGGAGGGAGGAATTAGATAAGAGAATAATACAGTGGCAAGCAAAGAAGTGGTAAAATACGATGATGTATAAAGTTGACTATTGATTGTAAATATATATAATGTTTTTAAAGGTAGAACCAAAGTTCTAGAGAGTAACAAAGCCGCTGGAAGAAAATGGAATTCATTGAGTCAAGAATGGTATTGTTTTGTTCACAAGAAGTGTGTAGAGTTACCAGTTGGTATCTCAGCAATTAGGTTGTCTTACAAAAATAAATAGCTATTTTTGTGGCTCTGCAGCTAAACTACCTCAATGAAATAATAGCTTATCCCTTACTAGCTGTAAGACATTAAGGAGTTTACCTTCCTGTGCCTAAATTTCCTTACCTGTAAATGGGGATGACAATAATACCTTCTCATAGTGTTGGGAGGATTAAGTGACACAAATATAAAGCCATTAGAACACTGCTTGCTTAGTGTGTACAAGTACTCAATGTACATGTACAAGTACATGCTTGCTGCTACTGCTCTTTTGTAACTTAACAGTAACCACACAAAGAATAGAAATAAGCTATCTGTCTTCAGGCCAGCAGAACTAAAATAAGGGAGTGAGGAAAGCTTAACCCTTTGATAGACCGTCAGGGTCAGCTGGAGTACTTTTAATTTTTGATTTATTTATTTTTTTTTTTTTGAGCAGTTCTAACTCCTTACGAGGATTGATATTTTTTGACTTTTTTTTTTTTTTTTTGAGACAAAGTCTCACTCTGTTGCCCAGAGTGCTGTGGCATCAGCCTAGCTCACAGCAACCTCAAACTCTTGGGCTCAAGCAATCCTTCTGCCTCAGCCCTCTGAGTAGCTGGGACTACAGGCATGCACCACTATGCACGGCTAATTTTTTCTATTTTTAGTTGTTTGGCTAATTTCTTTCTATTTATAATAGAGACGGGGTCTTGCTCTTGCTCAGGCTCGTCTCGAACTCCTGAGCTCAAACAATCCTCCTGCCTCGGCCTCCCAGAGTGCTGGGATTACAGGTGTGAGCCACCGCACCTGGCCATTTTTTGACTTTTGTTCTTAGAGATCCTAAGAACAAAGAGAAAATTTATTTATTAAAAGAAAACATTGTATCTTCCAATTACCATATGAATCCATTAGATCCTTTTATATGAACCTAAGGTACCTTGTGGGATCTTCAGAATCTTACTTTTCGCATATATTGAAATATTTTGCTATTTAACTGTAGGAATTTAATTATTTCATATTTTGCCAAAAAAGACTAAAATAATAAAGAATGATAGACTCACCTAGAAGGAA